TGAATTTCTTGTAGACATCATATAGTTGGGTCATTTTGTAAATCCACTCTGTCAATCTCCATCTTTGACTTGGTATGTTTATATAGTTTATAGTTAATACAATTACTAATATGTTACGACTTAAGTCTGCCATTTTTTTTAAAGCTTGGCCCTGAGCTAACATCTGTTGCCAATCTTCTTTTGATTCTTCTTTTCCTTCTCCGTAAAGCGCCCCCATACATAGTTGTATATTCTAGTTGTAAGTCCTTCTAGTTCTGCTACGTGGGACGCCACCTCAACATGGCTTGATGAATGGTGCTAGGTCTGCACCCAGGATCCAAACCCGCGAAACCCTGGGCTGCTGAACCTAACCACTCAGCCATGGGGCCGGCCTTAAGTCTGCCATTTTATTTATTTATTTTTTGCTTTCTGTTGGCTTTCTCTTGTTTTTTATTTCCTTGTTTTCTTTCTCCTGCCATCCTGTGGATTATGTGAACATTTTTTAAGAATTTATTTAGAATTATCTATGCCATTTTTTTTTTTGAGGAAGATTAGCCCTGAGCTAACATCTGCTGCTTATCCTCCTCTTTTTGCTGAGGAAGACTGGCCCTGAGCTAACATCTGTGCCCATCTTCCTTTACTTTATATGTGGAACGCCTACCACAGCATGGTTTGCCAAGTGGTACCATGTCCACACCTGGGATCCGAACCGTCAAACCTTGGGCTGCTAAAGCGGAACATGCACAATTAACCACTGCACCACTGGGCCGGCCCCTAATCTATGCTATTTTGAGTGTATCTCTTTGTATAGGAGTTTTTACAAGTGGTTGCTTTAGGTATTCCATTATATATTCATAAATTGTCACAATCTACTGGTGTCAACATTTGTCAGTTTGAGTGATGTGTAAGAAACCTTACCTCCTTTGGATCCTCCACTCTCTCCCATTTATAATATAATCGTCTTAAATTCTTCCCCTACGTACACGGAGACCCACATCAGACAGTATGACAAGTTTTGCTTCACTATCAAACATAATTTAGAAAAGTCAGGAGAAAGAAAGTCTTTTTGCCCGTATTTTTACTCTCTCTGTTGTTCCTTCTTCTTTCCCGATGGTCCAAGATTCCTTATCTTACCTTTTCCTCTCTGTATTCCCTCATTGTTCCATCTTCAAGTTGAAGTTCCTTTAGCCATTCTTTTGGGATATATCTGTTGGATACAAATTCTCTTAGTTTTCTTTCACTTATTAGTATCTTGATTTCCTTTTCATTTCTGAAGGATATTTTTGCTAGATATAGGTTTCTGGTTTGCCAGCTCTTTGCTTTCAGCACTTGAAAAAAAATGTTGTGCCACTTCCTTCTGGCATCCATGGTTTCTGAGGAGAAACCGCTGTCATTCAAATTGCCCTTCCCCTATAAGTAAGGTATTGTTTGTCTCTGCTTTCAAGCTTGCTTTTTGTCTTTGGTTTACAGAAATTTGACTGTAATGTGTCTTGGTGTGGATTTCTTTGGAATTGCAGTTTCTTAAATTCATAGTTTTGTCTTTTGCCAAACTCAGGAAAATTTCAGCGATTATTTCTTTGAATATTTTTTCAGCCTGCCAGCTTTTTCCTTACCTTCTTGGGATCTGATGAAAGGAAAGTTGGATCTTTCATTAAAATTCCACAGTCCCCGTTCATTTTTTTCAGTCTATTTTCTCTCTGTGGTTTAGGTCTGATAATTTCTATTGTTCTGCAAGTTCGCTGGCTCTTTCTTCCATCTTCCTCATTCCACCATTGAGCCAATCCATTGAACTTTAAAATTTTGAGGGGCGAGCCCTGTGGCATAGGGGTTAAGTCTGTTATATTCCATTTCAGTGGCTCTGGGTTCATGGGTTTGGATCCTGGGCACAGACCAGCACCACTTGTCAGCCATGCTGTGGTGGTGACCCACGTATAGAGTGGAGGAACATTGGCACAGATGTTAGCTCAGGGCTAATCTCCCTCAAGCAAGAAAAAAAAAAAAAAAAAAAAAAGAGAAAGTTTGGCAATGGATGTTAGCTCAGGGCTATTCCTCTTCACCAAAAAGAAAACATATATATATATATATAGGCTAGTGTATTTTTCAGTTTTAAAATTTCTATTTGGTTCTTCCTTACATGTTCTATTTCTTTCCTGAGATTATTATTATTATTTTTTTTTTACAAAATTTGTTTCAAAAGTGTTTGTAATTCCTTGTTGAAGCATTTTTATGATGGCCATAAAATCCTTGTCAGATAATCCTAACATCTGTGTCATGTCAGTGTTGGCATCTGTTGATTATCTTTATTATTCAAGTTGAGATTTTCCTGGTTCTTGGTGTTGAGCGATTTTTTTGATTGAAACCTGGACATTTTGGGTTTATTATTATGAGACTCTGGATCTTATTTCAATCATCTGTTTCAGCAGGCGTCATCTGTAGGGGAGGGGAAGCAGAGTGCTGTATTGTCACTGTCAGGTGTGGATGGAAGTCCAGGTTCTCTATTTAACCTCCGTTGACACCATGGTGGGGGAAGGACTCCTTGTTATGACTGTGTGGGGATGGGCATTCAGGCTCCTCACTAGGCCTCTGCTGATGCCACCCAGCCTGGAAGAAGCAGAAGTGCCTCATGTCTGCTCCCCAAATGGCCTCCACTAACGTGATGGGGGTGGTGGTGGAGTGGCCTCCTTAACTCTGGGTGGTGCTGAAAGTCCTGACTCTTCGCTAGGCCTCCTCTGACACCACCTCAGCGGGAAGCGGGGGAGAACCTTGATCTTGCTGGGTGAGGGTAGAAGTCCGGGCTCCCCCCATTATCTCTGATGACACAGCAAAGAGAAGCCCCATTACTACTTAGTGGAGGTGGGGGTCCCATTTCTCCACTTGGCCTTTTTTGACACCACCCTGAGCGGGATGGGAGAGGGCTGAGCACCTCATACAGCCTGACGAGGATGGAAGTCTATGCTCGCCACTCAGCCTATGCTGGTGGGTGGGGGTGGGGCCGAAGTTTTCCTTTGATGTTTGGTTGGAGTAGAGCAGTTATTCTCTAGAAGTTTTCTGTCTTGCTAAGCTGCCCCTTTCTTGGTCCTTTGTCTAGAGACAGTGGACTTTTCTCCAGGCTTTCCTTATGTCTCCCACGCATTGACGTTTCTAGGTTGCCAGCTTCTCCAACACCCAATGGAATATATGAGGCAAGAAGAAAATCCAGGGCCTCTCTTGAGTCGTTCCTTGGGTCCTAAAGTCCCCAGCCAGTCTCTCGTCTTCTCTCCACCTTTCAGAGTCTTGTATTTATTTTGGATATGATGTCCAGTATTGTAGCTGTAACTAGTAGGAGAATAGGGAGTATGCCTATACTATTCTTCTGGAAGCAGAAGTCCAGTCTCACTTACTAAGACGATGACTGAAGAAAGAAAAAAAAAACAGGTCAAGCTTTTCTGCAGATGTTGGGGCTCTTCGCTTATCTTGCCCTAAGTCTCTGTCAGCATATTAGAGAGCCAGTTCGCCTGAAGTTCTGGGCATCTCCATAATTAATACCAGCCCTTGGTGTGGTTATTAATAGTGCACCTCCGCCGTTTGGCCTTACCGGTTTTGATTGAGTGTGTTCAACCTTGAAGAAGGAAACTTGCTAAATAAGCTGGTTTTGTGAGTCACTTCATCATTAAGGTGAACAACAAGTTCCTTCAGCCCATCGATGCTTTCACACCAGGGTTTGATGTCTCAGAAACCCCGGCCAGCAGCTCTCCTTCTAAACGGGCGTATTTTAGTGAGGTAGAAGAAGCTTTCCAAGGCACTTTCCACAGGATGAGTGTTCAAACCACCTCTTAGTACAGAATTCACCCATTTCCCTCCCCACTGGGAGCACTGAGGGAACCAAGACGCAGACCCTTGGAGGTGCAGCCTTAAGGTGAGCGAGGCGAGCGTTCTGGCTCACTCAGGATGCTGCTGAGCCCACTGCTGCCTCTCCTGCACTTGTGCCTGTCAGAATTTCAGCTCCATCTGTTCCCTTTCTCCAGCCAACACAACGGTTTGCTCAGGAACTCAAATGATCTTGTTGAAAGTTTCTTAGCCAGTTATTTCACCATCAAGAAATTTGCATTTAACATCTCACAGGCATCATCGTTGTAAACATTGTGAACAAAGGCCAATAAAATGCCCTAAACATCAACATCTGTTCAGTCGCACAACTGTGAGGTAAAGAGCCCACTTAACTCTGGTCTCCTGTCTGGCTGTTCATAATGCCTTTTGGAACACACTGAAGTGCGTTATTTTATGGTTCAGGCTATAAGGGCATTTTTTTCTAGCTTAGCTCCTTCTTTTAACCCCAAACTTTCGGCCATATCTATAGTTCGGTCCTTCACCTTCTCTCCCTCTCGCCTCTGACGTGGGCTTTTCCTTATAAGGTGATTTTAAAAAAATTGTGGTAAAATACGTAACGCAAATTTACCATTTTATCCATTTCTAAGTGTACAGTTCATGGCCTTGAGTACCTTCATGTTGTTGTGCAGCCATCACTGCCCTCCATCTCCAGAACTTTTTTACCTTTTATAACTGAAGATCTGTACCCAATGAAGCAGCAACGCCCCATCTCTCCCCCTCCAGCCTCTAGTGGCCACCATTCTACTTTTTGTGTCTATGAATTTGACTATTCAACGTACCTCATGTGAGTGGAATCATGCATTATTCATCCTTCATAACTGGCTTATTTCACTTAGCATAATATCCTCAAGTTCCATCCATGCGGCAGCATGTGACAGGATTTCCTTCCTTTTTAAGACTGCATAATAGTCCATTGCTTATATACACACCACATTTTGTTTATCCATTCATCCGTTGATGGACACTTGGATTGCTTCCATCTTTTGTTTATTACAAATAATGCTGCTATGAACATGGATGTGAAAATATCTCTTTGAGACCCTTCTTTTAATTCTTTTGGGTATATGCCCAGAGGTGAAATTGCTAAATTATACGGTAATTCTATTTTTAATTTTCTGAGGAACTACCACACCGTTTTCCATAGCAACTGCACGACAAACATGGAACACCACAAAATTGCATGTCATCCTTGCACAGGTGCTATGTTTGTCTGCTCTGTATTGTTCCAATGTTAGTGTATGCGCTGCCAAAGCAAGCACCCAAGGTGATTTTAAACTGACCTTGATGCGGGCTTTAGACACTTTTTAAATGTGCTTGTTTGCTTGCATTTTTTCACTATACAGTTCCTTTTCAATACCTCTCTTTTTTCAAGTTGCGAAAAAATGTGTTAATTATTATTAAAAATGTTTCTGTGTGGATTTACTTTTATTTTAAAATAATACCTTTATCATTTCATAAAAAGAATACACCCTCATTTAAAAGTTGAAGCACCATAGAAACATTTTTTAAAAAGGGCAACAAATCGTCCCAAATCCTACCATCCAGAAGTAAGTAGTGTTAATATTTTCAACACTATTCCAACCATCTCTCTCTTCACATTTAGAGACAGAAAGATGGATTGATAGAAATAATTTTATAGGAATGGGATTATATGGCACATACTATGATAAAATAAAAAGTTAAAATGAATTTTATTTTAACTCAGAAATTGGAAGAATACTGAAGTGAAATTGAAGACATGCTAAACTTCAGATGGATATCTCCCCACTCTGAGATATACAAGTTCCTAACGTGCCTTCTAGATTGAGATATGGAAAACATTAAAAGATGGAAGCCATTATGTAGATCTTGCTTCATGCTTCAGTTTTTTATTTTGTGGACAGAAGTCCCATCACATGTTAGATAAGGTAATTAACACCTTAGTCTTCTCAGCCTCCTCCCTCACTCTGTGATTTTGTTTTATTACTTTTACTTTGTCAAGATTTATGAAGTAGATATTATGAACTGTTCATGTGATAGTTCAATATTTACATGGATACTTACCATCAGGCTTTTTCTCAGTGTTACCATCTCCACTCTTTATTTTGCTTCCTTCTTGCGTGCCTGAGTTTCAACACAGAGCATCCTTGCAGGAGGGGTTCACAGGTGCCATATTCCCTGAATTTTCTCAAGCTAGAGAATGTCAGCTGATTATCTTTATACGTGAATGATAATTTGGCTGAGTATAATATTCTCATGCTGTATATTAGTCTTTCCTTCAGAAACTTTCTAGCCACCTGTCCATTTTTTTTTTTTGGCATCAAATTTGCTATGGAGAAGTCTGAGGTGACTTGTTTTATCCCTCTGAATTCCTGAAGAGTTATTTCTTCACCTTTGAAGTTCAATAGTTTAACTATATTGTGTTCCCCTGATATGTGGTATGTCCTTTCAATATGAAAATGCGGTTCTTGTATTTCAGGGAAATTTCCCTGTATTCTGTCTCTGAGCTATTTCTATCTTACTTGTGTTGGGGTCTTTATGTCAGAGGCAAAAGTCACCCTTCTTTTGGCCTGTTTTTGCTCTAACCTCTTTGTTTTTCTTCTTTTATTGTCCTGGGGTGATTTTTTTAAATGTCATTAATTAAATTTTAAGCCCCTATTCCTTATAATTTATTTATTATAACTGATATGTTGTTGTTTTGGATCTTGATTTTTCTCTTGGCTGTTCATTTTCCTTTTTCATCCAATTCCGCTATTCATCTCTTGTCTTTGAGCTGCTATTTTATTAGCATTCTCACTAAGATCTTCTAGAACACTCACCAGTGATGGGAAGTTTTCTTTTATTTACCGAGTTACGTTTTTTTCCCCGCTGAAGTCTTCGTCTGACTTTTTCTTACTTTTGAGGATATTTAATATTTTACCATCATCTTTGTCTTCTCCTCTAGCCTCCTCTTTTCTCCCTCCTCCCTCTGTTCCTCCCTTCTCTCCTGCTCCTTCTTTTCTGCAGCAGATTCGACTGGTGAGTGTGCCACGCATCGGTGGACTCCTGCTCAATGTAGGCAGCTCCATCTGGACCTTCTGTTCTCCCTCACTCAGTGAGGATGGATTCTGTTTGAGGCCTCTCTGAGACAGACCCGCAGGGTGAATCTCACACCACTGGCCAGGCTTCTGGATGGTCACCATTTCACAGTTTCCTTTGATGGCACAGCAGCATGCCCAGCACAGTTTCACAGTTGGCTCAGGAAATAGCAGTGATGTCACACAGATTACTTAGCTCGGGCTATGACAGCGAGACAACATGAAGGAGATGTTCTTAGTGTGGTTCCCCTGGTCAGCCTAAGTGCCAGGGGCTATAGGAATGGAATTATAGTTTCCGCTTCCCTCATCTCCTCCTTCCCGGCATGGGCACCCAGTTGTCACTGATCAAGCTAACAGGGTCAGTATTTAACCCAGGCACAGTATGTGAAATGCATTTATACCTGCGAATGATTGCTATTGTTGACCTCATGGTGGACATTCCTTCCACATGAACTCCTACTGCACTCACCTTAACTGGGACCAATTGGTCTCTCCCCTTCAGGTTTCAGTTTGGGGTCTGGGGTGGCTCTCTCCTCCAGTGTAACAAACTACCCAGAATACAAGCATTTTATTTTATCTCATGACTTTAGGGTCCAGGAAGTTAGGCAGGGCTTGGCTGAGTGACTCTTCTGCTCCATGTGGCATTGCCTGGGGTTTTTCAGTTGTATTCAGATTTTGGCTGGTCTGGTCTGGAGGGTGCAGGGTGGCTTTATTTACACACTGGGTGTCTTGGTGGGAAGACTGGAAACTGAGCCCAGCTGGACCCCTCTCTCTCTCCTTGTAGTCTCAGCACCTTCAGATGTGGTGCCTCCAAGCCAAGGAGTTGGACTTCTTGCGTGGTGGCTCCAGGCTCCAAGAGCGATTGCTCCAGGAGGCAGGAAGTGGTTGCTTCCTCCTGGGCCCAGAAATTGTCACAGTGTCACTTCCAGAGTGCTCTATAGGTCAAATCCACCACAGAGCTCACCCAGATTTGAGGAGAGGGACATAGGCCCTACTTCTCAATAGGGGAAGAATTTACAGTCATTTTCACTCTTCCAAACTCTCCATCTACTTTTCCATAATATGAAGGCTCTGTGAGAGAGAGCAGAATGCTGCTGCTTGCACATCCCTCTGGGAAGGCTGAGTCTGCTCTCCTCTGAGGTCTCATTGCATGCTCTGGACCAGGGTCCACTCCACATGATCTGGAGGTGTCCATCTCCCATAGGTCTTGGGTGTCTTCCTCCAACACAGCAGAATGCCCCTCATGTGACAAGCCCAACAGCATTTCCTGCCTGAGTCCTGCTGTAGTGGGGTATAGGGAGCTCCACTCTTGAGGGTTAAAAACAATACTGTCCCCACTTCCCACTCGTAGCCTCAGTTTCAGTCCCCTCGATGGGAGTATGCCCGAGAGACCGTAGGATAAAGCATGATTTTGTTGACTCAACTTCCTTCCCCAGTCTTTCCTCTGGGTAGTGGGGACACAGTTAGGGACTGTGCCTCATGATTTTGCACCAGTTACGTTTTTTCGTTGCCCGATTATCACTTCTTGAAGTTTGTGGCATCAAGCGTATGATACTCCTTTTCTCATTTGGTTGTTGCTAGTGAATTTTTGTTATTTAGGGGAAGGAGTACTTTTTTGTATTTCACTAGATATTAAATAGGCAGATGCTGTCACCTTCTCTATTCCACCATCTTTTCTGGATATCACATCTTGGGTTGTTATCTTATTTTGAAATAATTATAGATTCACAGGAAGTTGCAAAAATAGTATATAGAGGTCCCCTGTACCCTTCACCCAGTTTCTCCCAAAGATAACATCTTACGCAACTATAGCACAATGTCAAAACCAGGAAGCTGACATTAGTGCGATCCACAGACCGTCAGATCTCACCGGTTTTACATGCCCTCACTTATGTGTGTGGGGGTGTGTGTATATTTAGTTCCATGCAATTTTATCACATGTATTATTCATATAACTGTAACCACAATCGTGATACAGAACTGTTCCATCATCACAAAGATCCTTTGTGTTATTTTTATATATATACATATATATGTAGTCAAATATATATATATAGTCATACCCACAACCCTGCCTACACCTCCCCCACTCCCTAACCCCTAGCAAACACGAGTCTGTTCTCAACCTCTATAGTTTTGTTATTCGACAATTTTATAAAAATGGAATCATACAGTATGTGACTTTTCGTAATTGGCTTTTCCTCCCACTCAGCATAATGTGCTTGCAATCCATCCAGGTTATTGTGCGTGTCAAGTCCATTCCTTTTTATTGCTGAGTAGTATTCCACTGTGTGAATGCAGCACAGTTCGTTTGACCGTTAACTGATTGTAGAACATTTAGGTTGTGCCTGGTTTGGGGCTATTACAAAGACACCTGCCGTGAACAATCCAGGACAGGGTTTTATGTGGACATCAGTTTCATTTCTTGGAGATAAATGCCCAGGAGTGTGATGGCTGGGTCAAACGGTAAGTGTATGGTTAGTGCTTTAAGAAGCTGCCAAACTATTTTCCAGAGTGACTGTGCCATTTTACATTCCCACCAGCAATGTATGAGAAATCCATTTTTGATGTATCCTGGCCAGCATTTCGTTTTTGGTATTGTCACTGTTTTTAAATTTAGCTCTCCTAATAGGTTGTATATTGGATTTAAAATGTCACTTCAAGAGTGATGGTTCCACACAGCTATCGCTCCAGGTTTTTCTGAAGCAAAGGTGTGACAATTTAGGTTCGGTTGCAAGCCACAACAATAAAACTCACATTGAAAGTAAGCTTTAAGCCATCCTGCACTTTCCCCCCAATATTTACTACATTGTGGTAGCATCTTCTTCATTCTCAAGCCTCCGTGGGGAACTTCAGCGACTAGGACAAGGCAACCACAATACTTGATGCTTTAGAGTTCTGGATTTTCTTCATTATCTGGCTGGCATATTTCACTAATTTCAAACTTATGCTCTAGACTTCCTGTTTCTAACCACAGACCCATGGTCCCATTTGAAGACATAATTTTTAAATGATTGCATTCTGAAACGATATAAGAAGAATGAAACCAAATCCATAAAGTACAGAATTTGGGGGTGATCTGGGAATTCACTGGGGCGAGATGTTAAAATAAGCATATTTCCACATTTTTAAAATAAAGTATTTAATAGAGTCTATTTTTGTTAGGAAGTTGAATGATTTGTACAATGAACTTTTATGTGTCG